GAGAGACATTGACATGAGAGAGAGGCAGCCATTGGTTGCCTCCCACATGCGCCCCCTGGAGCTGGGGATTGAGACATGTGCCCTTGACAGGAATTGAGCCTGTGACCCTTCAGTCCTCAGGCCAACGCTCTAACCGCTGAACCAAACCAGCTAGGGCACAAAAGTATTAAATACATGAAACTATACTATAATGAAGTTACATGTCTTCTCACTCAGCTTCAAACAATCAACTCATGACTAATCTTGTTTCATCTATACGTCACCCATCCTCTCTCTTCTTCCTTCATTTTAAAGCAAATATTGATATCATATCATTAACTTCCTAAGAGCTAAAATCCAAAGGCCTCTTTTTAGTGTATGAATAGGTATCTGAAGTCCAACAGAGAGGTCTGACCTAGAAATATGGATTTAAGAGTCATCAGTAATAAATTCAAGAGCTGAAGCTCTATAGCTTTGGATGAAATCAAATGGCCATGCTTGGGAGACAAGAAGATAGTTTTTGGTGCCCTTTTATTAAAATTACAAATAAATATAAAACAAAACTTTTATATTCTATGATTTTATTTTTCTGCCTTAAAAAGGTGTCCTTATATTAACAGCCACTACTCTGAAGAACTTAAAACCTCTAAAACATAGACATAATTTATGTAGCATCAAATTTAAACACGGATATTGTAACCAACTCCAAATCTACCTTTTCAAGTATTTAAGAACTTGTTGCTCCTAATAATTTTCCTTTCTCTTTAAAGTGTACATATTTGTCTTACTTTCTTTTGTATGTTTATTTCACAATAAAAAATTTTAAGTAAACTTTAAAAAGAAAATGATTCCTATATTTAAATATCTATGACAGATAATGGCATATCTTATAAGTATTTAGAGCTCTGAATATACATAAGAATATTTGTATCCTAAAAATGTTTTATGAGCTCTTTAGATACCAAGTCGTTGAATCTGAGACCATTTAATCCTACATTTAAATTAATTTTACCCCAAATGTCAAAAATAGTTGTTTATTTATACTCCAATCCTGAAAAAAAAGTCTCAAGTTCCTTAAATACTAATTTTGCAGTCCACTTTAAAAGAATTTCTAAATTTTTCTAAAAATAGTTTTATAAGCTATTCAATAAATAACCTTTGAAAAACAGAGTATTTATGGCCTCTGGAATAGAATGGAATTTTGTGTCTTTGATTATGTTAGTCACCAAGTAAATTATCCAAAGGGGTAGGAGAAGTCCAATTTTTAGAAACACAATAGATTTTCAACATTTAAATTTTGATGGGTTGACACTGATTAAATCAAGCCTAAATCCTATTTGATCCGAAAAAAAAACTCTAAAATATTTTTAAGTATATCCTAATCTTTGAAGTAATAGTCCTAGAAACATGAAAGTATAATGTCATAATTAGAGGGATATACACTGTAGTTATTATGAGCACACCATACACTTCCTCACTTTATTCTTTTTCTAAGGAAAAAAAATGGATATATTTAAAAGCAGTTTCAACTTTGGCTATCTTATGTAATTGCCATTTCACCTAAATTACTGGAAGTTTCCTGGGAAACATGTTTTATTTTTAAAAACTTTTGAAAAGACTGAACCTAATGTGTTTTAAGTAAAATCCAACTCATTTTTAAAGCATGGTTAAAGAAACAATCATTATGTCAAAGTGGCATGCTCTCTCCCCACCAAAAAATAAAATAAAATAAATCAGTCTTTTTTTTCCCCCGGTCAATGTTAACAGGATGATTAAGAGGCATAATTGCTTTTTCAAGAACCATCTCCTAAACAGAGTGCCTCAAACCCTTCTCCCTTTCAATAAGTATATTCCAGATACCCACACATTTAATTAAACTATTCTTTCTTAAAGACAATGAATCAGTTTTCTTGTTGTCAAACAAGCAAAGCATTGTTACTTGGTATTCATTTTCTAGTTAGTGGTTTTTACCTTAAGTATGATATTGTTGAATACAAATATTCATTGTAGTAAATTTAAGAACTTTCTTCATTCTCATTTCAGACATTAAGATGTATGGGGGAAGGGAGAGAAAAGTGTGGAAAATATAAAATAACTTTTTGAGAAGTTCAGTTTCAATTAAGGAATTTTATAAAGATATCTTGTTGCTGTTCTTAAATTAATTCTGCAACAGAAGCCAAGTGATTTTTTTTTTTTTTGGTCTTGAATAGTAATGATACAGATTTTCTTTACCAATAGTGTATATATTAACTATATTTAATATGTCAGAAGTATTTTATTTCTATATCTCTAAATTCCTAGTCCCTACCAGGGCTTAATGACATCAATAGCATTAATTCTGCCAGAGTAGTGAATTTACCATTTATTTTCACAACTTTAAAAAAAAAATCTCAACTTTCCTGTGAAACTGCTATTTTGAGCAAAATACATGAAAAACTAGTAATTTCGATACAGTACATGAAACCACTCAGGTTTTTTTGTTTCTGTAATATAACAGGCATGAATTTGCTGACATTCAAAGTCTTTTTACCTGTTTTTCCTCGCAGGTGTGAGGACTTTTTTCTTAAAAACAAAAGACGCACTCAATTTAGGGAAATGTCTCCACGTACCCCTGTAGCTACCATCAACGAGTCCTGGAAAGCTCTGCAATAAACGGGGTTACTTCACCCGCTCTTTTCAGAGTTTCAGCAAATTAATGCGGTGCGCTCTCTCCAGGTGGTTTTAATGTTTGTTTTAATTTAAAAAAATTCACAAATATGACCTACCCTATAGCCCTAAGGCACCTCAGACCATGCTCACTTAAGGGTGTACCTTCCCGCCCAGGTGTATGAAAGGAGCATACGAGCTGTGAGTAGAAAACATGCAGATTTCGTTGACCACCCAAAGCAAGAAAACTGAGTCTTAACGCTGCTAAACGTCCTGAAGTTGCTCAGTCTCCTTGAACTGCTTCCGTTCCAACTGCTTCGTGTGTGTCAGGAATACCCAAACCCAAACCCAACAAATCAATCCTCCGGAGAAGGGGGAGTGAGGACCGGTCTCCCACCACCTGCCGGTCCACAGGTGGCCGGGCTGGGAAGGACCTTCGCCTCCCGGGGCTCACCTGGCCCGCCTGGCCCCCTCAGCCTGGGGGGGCGAGGGGGGGGTCCAGCTCCCGCGTCCCCGAGGCCCCGCGCACCAGCCCCGGGTGCTAGCAGCCCCGCGGGGCCTGGCACAGGCGGGGAGGCCCTGGGGAAGCACGTGCCTCCTCTCGAAGCCCCGTCGAGCGGGAACTCCGCCAGGCCTCCGGCTCCTGGCCACCGCCCGTCTGCCCAAGGAGTGGCCGGGCCACGGGACGCGTCTGACCCACACACCGCCTCCAAGTGTGAAGTTCGGGGCGCCCCAGGCCCGGGGGGCCCGGTAACAAATGCGGCGAAAGCGAGGCCCAGGGGTTGGGTACCTTGTTCTGAGGCCGCACAGGTGTCCAGCAGGTGCAAAGCCGGGGCTCCCGGTTCCCTTCCACGGAGCCGCCAGGGGGGCCCGTGGGCCGCCGGGAACCGGCCTCGGGAACTGCCCGTGGGGCGGCCCAGCACCTGGGTCTCGAATGGCACTGGCCCAGCGGCTGCGAGCGCCAGGGCCCCGGGTGGACCGGGCGGGGTCGGTGAGGAGCCCCCCGGAGTCCTGCACCCGGGCCCCTCTGCCGAGACCTGGACGCGCCTCGGCGGGGCCGCCGGCACGTGCTGTCCGCGCACCGAGGGGCCGACGCACCACGCAGGGCCGTCCGGGCCGGGCTTTTAAGGAGGAGCCCGCGCGGGCGCGACCGGGACCCGCGCCAGGGGTCTCCCTCCGGGGGCGGCGCCGCGGGGCGGGTTCGGCGGCGCCGGCGGCGCCCTCCAGCGGGCCTCCGCGGAGCCGGGCTGGCCGGGCTGTCGGCGCGGGAGCGCACGCGGCCCCGGCCGGGCCTGGCCTACGCGGTGCGCAGGGAGCACGCGCCCGGGAAGGCTTGCTGCCGCCGGAGCCCGCAGCCCGGGCGGAGCGGGACCCAGGGGAGGGGCCTCGCGAAGTGTGCTCCGGCCTCACACGGAACAGAAAGCACAGGGCGTGTTGGTCACTTCGCAGGGAACTTTTCGTTGTTTCCTTATTTCCTTCCTGCGCGTGGACCAGTTGAGCAGCTTCTTGGCCTGACACCCAGAAGGTTCCAGGCCAGAGTCGGAGAGCTGGGCTCTGGGTTTCCTGGGGGCATCGCCCCACTCCATCCCTCCCCCATCCCACCTCCCTGGGGGGGGGGGCTCCTTTCCGACCTCCCGTTGCAAGCCCAAGTGGGACGCGTCCGCGTCCACGGTTTTAGACGTTGTGTTTGCGTTTTAACCTTCACAGCGCGAACCAGGTACCTTGGCTACTTCTGGAGAGGGGCTGAGGCTTAGCACTCGGGCGGAATGACTCGGGTCCCCCAGCCTTCTGAATCCCCCCCCCATCCCCGCCCCCTCCCCCGGCGCAGCTCGGCAGAAAGGAAGGTTGTCTGCTGCCAACGTGCAGGACACGGATCATTTGGGTTTTTTGGTGCGGTTTTTTTGGTCGTTTTGTTTTCTTTTTCTTTTTGGCTCAGCTCTGAGAGCATTACAGAGCTATCCTTTCCCGCCTCCCGACCCTCTTCCCCTCCCCCTCTCCTTTCTGGTGCAAGCAATTAGGGTGAAGAAATCATTGCCAGGCTCCTGCCTCTAAAGAGAAAGGAATCGCTTCGGGGAATTGAGTCCTGACACCTGTCTCTGCCCTGGATGGCAGGAGGGGATGCGGGGTCAAACCGCCTGGCCTAGGGCCGAATAGGGGAAGAGGCCTGGCTGACCGGGAGGGGAGGACACCCCCTAAAGAATGTTCCTGGGGACTCCTCCCGCCACGTCTTCCCGCCCTACCCTTCGGCCTCCAGCTGCACACAGATCATTAACACGCGGGTTATTAACACGGAGTGGCGTCCCCCCTCCACCCCCGCTCAGGGCCCCAAGACCTGGATCCAGTGCTAGAATCAGAAGAGCCACACTGACAAGCCGTTCGTTCATGAATTTGCATTTATTTTCGGGAAGTTATGTAGATAAACGGGATTGGGGGCTGCCTCACATTTCAACAAGTAATTTGTGATCTTCACATCGGACAAATTAAATTTACAAATTACTTTCCCACCTACTGGACGAAACGGCCAAAGCCAAAATTGATACACAGGCGCGGGCGGCCGCATATTTGGAAGCGCGAGGTGCACTAAGAACTCACTAGACAAAACAGGGGAGGCTGAGAGAGAGAAGCTGGCGGGAATGGGAACTGGGGTTTGGGACCTGGGTTTGTTTTCCCATAATATGTTTTTCTTTTTTTTCTTTTTCTTTTTTGGTCTCTCAACCAGAACTGCGACCCTGTGCTTAGCCCTGAAGGACACAGCGCTGCGCCCCAGCCCAGCCCCCTCCCCTCTAACCTGACTTTTCCGCTTCCTCCACACTCCGGGCCCTCCGATCCCCAGTGCCCAAACGGTTCTCTTTAATAAATACAAACAGGGAAAAGGTGTGAGGGCAGGGCAGCTTTGAACAACTGAAAAAGTAAAAGCGCCATCGTTTGAGGAAGAGAAGCAGGGGGACAGAGGGAAATATTTTTGCTTTTGTTTTATATATAGATGTGTATATGTATATATATATATATGTTGTATATATCTTAAAGTTCTATTTCCTGGGCGCTAAAACGAGATATGCTTCAGTTCAACCAACAGCCACTAGAAAGTGTGAGTGGTCCTTGGAACGGACCGACTATGTACAGCATTCCCGCTGAGGCGGAAGCGTGAGCCTGGTCTACGCGGGGCGGGGCTGAGCGTGAGAAGCGGGGGGCGCCTCCTCCGGGCCGGCCCCAGCGCATCCTGCATCCTGGGAGGAGGAAGAGCCGAGAGCTCGGGCCTGCAGGCGGGGAGCGGGGCCCAGGGCAGATGAAGGGACGGCAGCCTGCACGGGAAGAATACGCGGTGGGTGTTTGGGAGTAGAGTGTGGGTGCACTCAAATGGGCAAAACACATGCCAGTTAGTGACTCCAGTGTCCAGGAAGAATAAATAAAAGTGTAGGGCTCAAACAGCCGGTCAGAGCCGAGAGCCTCCGAAGGCTGCAAGTGCATACTAATTGTCCAGAAAGACTGGGAGAGGGTGAATTAGGAGTTCGGTCGGGTTAAAGGGGAGAGCACACAGCGCTCGCTCCCGTATAGAACTGTGGGCCAAGCCAAAGCACCGGTCCCTTCGTCAAAGGGGTGGGTGGATTTGCACCTCCTACCCTAGCAAGTGGCACGAAGGTGAGGGTGGCAGTGCAGGCCATGGGCATCGTTTAGGGGCATGAAAATCAGATCTGGAGAAGCCGAGGCAAAGGCGGGTGGTGCAGCAGCAGCAACAGGACGGGGACCACAGGGAGCGTAGGTAGTTTCGTTTCTCTTCCTCCTCTCCCACTCCTGGGCTCACAATACCTGGAACCGCCACGAGGCTTGGTCTTTATAGTCCAGACAGTCGGGCGAGTTGAAGTTGAGTTTCCAAGCAGAGGAAGCTGCGGTGGCGCCAGGCTCCTTGTAATCCAAGCAGTCGGCAGAGTTGAAGGCGAGCCCTGAACTGCCATACCCCTGGTGGTGGTGGTGATGGTGGTGGTGGTGGTGGCCGGAGGACTGGCTCAAGGGGTGGTGTGCGTGGGGATGGTGGTGATGGTGGCCTGCCATGGAGGATGGTGCCATGGGGCTGAGCTGGTGCGGGTGGTGGTGCGAGTGCATGGGCGCCAGATAGGAGCTGCAGTCCACACCGCCGAAGTAGGAGGAGGAGGGCGCGGGGTAGCCCTGGCCATAGCTGCCGCCCTGGCCGTAGGACATGGGATAGGAGGCTGCAGCCGAGGCCGCGCCGGCCGCTACCGAGCGCTGCATACACGACGCGTTGCTAGGTGCGGCCAAGGGCTCGGGCACCGACACCGACGCAGGTGCGGAGCCGGGAGAGATGGAGGCCGGACTCCAGATGGACGAGGCGGCAGGCGTACTCAAGGACGACGGCGCTGCCACCGCCGGGTTCGCGCCCAGGCCTGCGGCCGCCACGGCCGTCGGGTTGGCGGAAGCGCTGGAAGCCGAGCTCGAGGACGAGGCGGAGCTGGACACAGCGGGCGGCGTGAACTGGCCGCTGCTTTCGGAGCCCGAGCTCTCCCGCACCGGGGACGACTTCTTCTTGGCCGGGCGGTTCTTTGTCCCGCTCCCGCTCTGCTGCTGCTGGCGGCATTTGGCACGACGGTTCTTGAACCAGACCTGCAGCGGGCCGGTCGGGGAGAGTGTGTCAGTAGGCGAGTAGAGCTTGCTGCTCCCCGCCCCTGGGGCCCACCACCCCGCCTAGGATCACGCCTCGAACTCCTACCGAGGCCTCTGCCCCTCCCCATCTCTAGCCCGGCCAGCCCCTGCCCCAGACCCAGCCTTCCCAGCTTCTCCGCCCGCCCCCATCCTACTGCTCAAAGACCCTCCTCTGGCAAAGTAGGGATGTGGACACATCCCCCTCCCCCGCACCCCCGGAGCAACTCTGCCCTAGGGTGGAGCATCTGCGTGGGTCCAGTCACAAGTCCAGCCATCTCTAAACTGCTGTTGTGGTCTGTTCCCAGCAGCCCGTGTACGTTTGGAGGCCCTGTCTTCTAGAGCTAGAGCGCAGGAAACAGCGGAGGGGCACGGAGCAGGCCGGGAAGTGTGGGACAGTCACCAAGTGTGAGATCTGAGCCAGTGGGCCGGCGGGAGGCCCGGGGTGGGCAGGGCGAGAATTGGGGTGAGAGTAGGAGCAAAATGAGGAAGCTGAACAGAGGCAGTACTGGGAGACGAGGGAAAGAAGCCTCGGCAGAGTTTCTTTGGGCTTCTTGGCTCCCAGTGGGGAACCTAATAGTGCAGTCAGTCAGGAAGCTCTCACTCATCTTGGAAGGCCCTGGAACTTGGCATTGCATTCCTGGTACTTTCTCGAGACTCCGAGAAAAGAAGGCGCGATAAAAGGCTCCCGAGGAGAGTTCTGAGTTATAATCCAAACAATATTTTTTTCGGGGCTCTTTCATCGCAAAGCCCAGAGCCCGGTTTTGCATTCGGCATCTTCTTGTGGCAAAGGAAGCGTCTGATTAAACTGGCACTACCCGCGGAGCCAACTCCCAGATAGGGCACCAGACTCCGGCCAAGCGCCACTCTTCTACTGTCAGGATTCCCGGGTTGCAAGGCCAGGGCGAGGCAGAATTCAGGACCCTGAAGGAATTGGGGCAAGTGTGGGACCCTCAGGGCACTTTACTTTCGGAGCCTCTTTGTTCTCCCGCAATCCTAAAAAAGGACCTTTGATACCCAAAGCGCCCTGGGGCCAAGGGCCGAATCCAGGGCTCTAAGCTAGCTCCTTTAACTCTGTCCCCTCTTTCAGGCTCAGGACCAGAGTGGGGGTAGGGGGTGGAGGTCTGGGAGGGGCCGCCCAGTCTGTAAGCCCGCCCCAAAACCAGACCCCAGGCCCTCCACCACCAGGTCCAGCACCCCTATCCTGACCTGGAGCGCCCGCGTGCGCACCTGGACTCTGGACTCCGGCAGGTTGATCTTGAGCGCCACCTCCTCGCGCATAAAAATGTCAGGGTAGCGAGTCTTGGCGAAGAGCGCCTCCAGCACGTCCAGCTGCGAGCGCGTGAAAGTGGTGCGCTCCCGCCGCTGCTTCCGTGGAGTGGCTGAGGGGACACGCGGGGGCGCCTCGGGTCAGCGGGGGCCGCAAGGACCCGCGCCAGAGGACGCGGACAGGCCCCTGGCAGGCCCTGAGCGAAGACATCGTAAAAGAAAGCCGAGCTCCCAGCAAAAGAGGCCGAGCCCGAGAGGCCACAGGTGGTAGGAAGTGCATGTGTGTGACCGCGAGCCACTCTCTCCAAGGATCCGGGGCTGCCCTCTTCCCTAACTCTCAGAGGTTAAGAAAGGAAGAGAAATTATGCAGTCTCCCTTCTTACACACACACACACACACACACACACACACACACACACCAACAAACTCCCTGGCTGGAGGTTGGGGAAGGGGTGCACAGAGACACCACCTGGAAAACACTTTTCGAGGGAATAAATGGGAGCGAAAGAGTGGGAGCTAGAAAAGAAAGCCAGAATCCGGCTCAAGCCATCCACATCAGCCGTACAACAGTTGGTGCGAAGGACTGGTCTGGAGGACAATTTAGGGAGAGAGAATCCCCTTCCTCAGCGCAGCCAGTTGCTTCCTGGAAGGACAGCTCTGCTCCTCCTGTCAGGGCATGGCGAGTGTCTAGATTCCTCATTCAACGTCGAGGGGGAAAGGAAGAGATTCACACATGCACACACCAAAAAAAGCCACCCAGGGGAAACGAATCTCGATGCTGGTGGTGGGGCCACGACAGGAGACAGGTGGTGGGTAGGGTCCCGCCCGGGTGTGCATGTTGCCCTGTTTCCACTGCCCTGGCCCACCTCACCGACCTGCAACTCTGCCCTGTGAGCCTGCAGCGTGCTCCTGCATTACGAACAGACCAGGCAACCGGCTCCCTGGACCGGCTCAGCAACAAAGTGTGTGCTCAAACCCAAGAGGCTGGGGCCCCCCAAGATTTGCAGGAACTGGGGGTGGGTGGGTGGGAGCTGGTGCTCACCCGGATAGCCCACGGAGGGGTGCAGGAGGTCCATGGCGGGCCCGGCCAGGCCCAGCCCGTTCATGCCATATGGGGGTTGTTTGAGGTAAGACATCATGCTAACAGCCGGGTGAAGGCGCCCCGACGGATCCAGGGGGCCAGGCGCAATGCAGGGCTACCACCGCGCAGTCCTTCAAGCTCTGTTGGGTCTTGGGGCTCGGCCTGTGTAGACAGGAGACACAAGGAAACAGTCATTCACAGCCATCTCGGCTTCCTGGTCTTGTCAGAGGCAAGGAGCCACGGGGTGGGGAGGGGACACAGGCTGTGGACTGCGCTGGGCGGTCAATTCGGCTCTACAAGGCCTTAGTCCAAAGACCAAGACTTCCTCAAAAAGCAAACTTTTCTGGATCGGCGTCACCTCTTTTCATGCTTGGAATGGGCCAAAGACTCGTAGGGCATCGCTAGGAGTGAGGAGAAGTTAAAAGCTGGACTACGCTGGGAGGTCAGAGTCGGAACCGCGGCGTGTGCGAAGTCCCAAGTGTAGGCAAAATTCTAGCCGGGGGAGGGCCGGCCCTACACGGCACAGCAAAAACGCACTGGGCCCCGCTGCAGGCGCCCAAAGGATGAGGTATTGTTTCATTCTGTTTGAAATGTTTTAGGAAGCGAGACTAAAAGATGGAGATTACAGAGAACCAAGGTGAGGCGCTAGCAGCACCTGGGCCTCTCCCAGACGCGAGGCTCACGGAGAATGCGCTTCTTCAAAGGACTCAACGGCTGGTGCGGGCCCCAGAGCCCACAGCCACCCCTCCAGCTGGCCTCTCTGTGCTTCGCCGCTGAAAAATTGCTCCCCCGAAATCCCACTGCACCCCAACCGCGGTTACTGACCCAGGTCCCCCACAGCCGGCCAGAAGACGCAGAAGGGGCCACTGTAGCCTCGGCGGGTCTAAGACAAGGCCCCAGGTTAGGGGTGCCTCGTCGGAGCCGCAGGCCTTTCTTCACCAACTCAAGCGGTCCTTCTTTCTACCGGGTCCTGGTGTGGACAGTGGGGTCGGGGCGGGGACTGTGCCCCAAAGGGTCTGGCAGATTTGGGAGGTTTGAGGGCAGCAGGTCCCGTGCGCTCCCTGCCTACTCTACCAGCTGAGCCCGCGGCCCCAGCACCCTATCCGCGCCGGAGAACTAGGCCTCGGCGGCGTCGCTCGCGCTGACCCGGGCTGGAGGGTCGAAGCTTGGCTTCCCCAGTTGCCCCGAACCGGAGGCACCGCTCTCGGGGGTCAGGAAGTGGCGTGGATCAGGGCCCTAGAGGACCTGTCGCTTCTCCGAGCTTTTTGGTAACTCCACGCAGGCCTGGGAGCCGCGCTAGGGAGTTACAGGGTAAGAAGTTGGAGCCAAACAAGCCTCCCGCTCCTGTCCTTGGGGACCCGCGGCCTGCGCTGGGGAACCCAATTTGCAGGGAAGGGGATGAAAAGGAAACAGCCGGGACTCCTGGGCCATGAGGACTCTGCTAGGCTGCGGCGTGAGTTTCAAAGACTTTCTTCAAACTTAGCACTTCAGCTCGGTTTCTTCGGAGGAGGCGGGGGCGCGGGGCCGCGGCGGAGCTCTGGGGTCGGCGGCGCACCCTGACGGGAGCCAGGCCGCCCCCCAGCCTCGCCCACCTGCCGGGACCTGGGAAGCGGGGGCCCGTCTGAAGAGGGAGAGGCGAGAGCACCCCGCGTGTTTTCAGAGCCCAGGGCGGCCCCGCGGCTTCCTCCTTACCTGCCCTCAGCTGCCGGGACTGCTCACCATCTACTTTGCGCCCTCACCGACCCGCCAGGCAGGCAACCTGCAAGACAGAGCAGTAGAGGAATTCGTTACCCGCCGGCCTGGAGGCTGTCCGGGACCCCCGGGTTTCTTTCTTTCCCCAACTTCCCTCCTCCTTCCTCTTTCTTTCCACTGGCTTTGTGCCTGTCCCTCCAGGTTTCACTTTATTGCACAGACACTGTTTGCAAAGCCCTACACGCTCCCGAGACAGACGCTACCTCGCCCGGGACCACGCCGAGGGGCCTCGGGGGAAAGGGCGGGGGGGAGAGGGGCAGAGGTGAGGGTGGCTCGCAGTTGCCCCTGCAGTCCCGGTGCAACGTGGAGGCGGTGGGGCGGGGGGGCTGGGGAAGTCCTGCAGAGGCACTTTGCAAACTAAATAAATCAAGCGATTTACCTTGTCGGAGTGGCTTGTCTTGCTCGGTTGTTTAGGTGATTGGAAATGTAGCCTGATGAAGATTGATCACCTTTCTACTGCCCTCCCCGGGTATGTGAACGCGAGGTGAGTGCGTAACGGGGCGAGACTGCCAATCCCGGGCCCCGCGCGGGCTGAGTGACAGGGAGCCGGGCAATGGCGGCCCGAGCCCGGGGTTACCTCCGCGCGCCCCCGCCCTCCCCCGCCCCCTGCACCCCGCCCTCGCCGCCCGCCCGCCCCGCCCCGGTCGCGCGCTAACTCCAGGGCTTGGCTGGCAAACGAGGCACTGAGCTAGGCAAGGAAGGCGTGCGCAGTGCCCGAGCCCCAGGTCGCGGAGAGGGTCGCCGGTCGCTAGGCCGCCCTGGGCCCCCCGCCCTCCTCTCGCCCTTTCAGCGCCCTGGAGGGAGTGGCAGAGAGGAGGCGAGGTGCTGGAGAACCGGTTCTCTCGCTCCCCCGCGCGCCACCCGGCTGGGCGGCCGGGTTGTGGGCGCGAGGACTCCGGCGCCGCGTGCTGGAGGAGAGCGGGCCCCCGGCCCCGGCCCCCGGCCCCTCGCGTGGCGCCGCGGGCCCCAGCGTCTCCTTCTGAGCCGCCACCTGCAGACGGACGCCGCGGGCGGCTCGTGCCGGCACAGGCTGCTCTGCGGAGCGCCGGCACAGCCCGGGGTGCGCAGATCCCGCCTCGGCGCCTCGGTGCCTCGGTACTCCCGCGCTCGGGAACAGCACCCCGGGGGCGGCCGCGCCACGTACCTGGTCCTCGGTGTCTCCTGGGGTTCCCTACCCCCCCGCCCCCCCCCCCACGAAGGGCGTTTGCAGATCTTAAACGCTTCTGCAACGTCGGAGCCCGGCGTCTCCTCCCCCTTGCACACACTACTTCTGAGTCGAAAGATTGTGATAGGAAACTTTCTCTTTCCTTCTGCCTCCTTCTGCCAGGGACAGTCTGGTGGGAAACTTGGCCACAGACCCCTGCCTCATTTTCTTTCCCACGTGCCACAGAAGGAGCCTCCCTGGGGCGACTTCCCCGTGTTATTCGTACTGGCGAAGCCCGTTTCCCAGCCGAACAAACTTCTCAAACACATCTACCTGGGTGGACTTTGTAAAGCGCAAAAAAAAAGTGTTTTCGGCGCAATCCTGAGCAAGGCAATTCTTTTAAATGGCACCTCCTCCTGAATATTAGGCAGGACTTTACTGCCTTTCGAGGAATTCCCCCTTTTCCCTAATCGCCGCTTCCCTCCACCCCTGCGGGCAGAGAAAAAAGTTTGCACGGGAGTCGGTGTGCGGGCGAGTCCGGGAGCGGCCGGGCGCATCGCGGTGGGAAGCGCCGGCGCTGCCGGGGCCGCGGGGCCGGGCGCTGGGCGAGGAGAGGCGAAGGGGGAGCCGCTGAGTGAAAAGGGGCCGCGGCCGCAGCTCATCAAAGTGCTTCCCCCTCCCCCAGCGACACTCTCCTTTGGAGTCCGAATAAAATACGGTAACAGAATATGATGGAGGGCACACTGTTTCCTTAACTGCTTCTCAAAGGACCCGCGAGATCTTCTTAGGACCTTTAATAAGGCTTTGGTCGGTTCTTTTGTTAATCTCTCAAAATCAACTCCTTCTAATTGAAGTTGGAGCTGAAAGCGAGCTAATGTTCAAAGAAAGTGGCCGCCAGACCAACGAAATTACATTTTTTTTTTTTTTGGACGATGAGGGAACATCTAATCAAAGGGGCCAAGGAAGAGGGGTGTGAATGGGGAGTATGAAGAGAAAAAGAGGTTTTACAAGATCCTTCTCTGGTTCACAAAAGTCAGCGACACGGGCGTTTCTCTCCAGAACAAAGACACCGCGGCCCATTCACAAAAGGGAGAGTAAGAGACACAGAGAGAAAACAATAAAAGAAGCGAGAGAAAAGGAAAAAACATGAGAAAGAAAAGTTTAACAAGGAAGAGACTGTGCGGAGCGCAGCGCTGACCCGCCGGAGATACACCTTAGGATCGCGCAGGCCCCGGCGGGGAGCAGCCCTCGGGGCCGGCGGCTGGAACCCCTCCCCCCTAGGCCCTCCCCACCCCACCCCGCCCGGAGCTGGTGCCGAGGTTTAAAGAAAGAAACGAAATACACCCCCTCCTTCATTCCAGGGAAAAGGCGCGGGCTGGAGCGCACTTGTTTGGGGGGGAGGAGGGGCGGGATGCGTTTGCGGGCGCCCTGGCAACGTCCTAGTCCAGAGCTGCCCCAGCCCGGGCCTGCGCGCCGCGCGCCTGGGTTAGCCCCTAGGGCCGGGGTGCGTGCCCTGTCTCGGGCCCGCCACCCCCTCCGGTCCCCCTTCCTCGGACCCTGTTTTGCCTACAGGTTCGGCGCGGGCCGAGGTCGGGGCGGCGAGGTGGGGCGCTGTGGGCGCTGGAATGTGCTCGGCGGTCCCCAGGGCCCAGCGCGCGGGAGCCGCCGCTCCCGCTTCCAGATGCTGCGGTGGTCTCCAGAAGTTGGGAGGAATCGAGTAGCAGGATCCCTCCTCCTCCACACACACACCCCTAATGAGGGTATTTATCTAATCCCAAATTGCAACCCATAAAACCCCGGGATTAAGAGAAGAAAAGGGAGAGGAGAGGGGAGAGGGGGAGAGGGAAGAGGAAGGGAGGGAGAGAGAGAGATGGAAAGTTTCTTGCACTCGGCGTGGAGGACTGAGGCGGCCGTCACTAGGCAAATGTCCAGGTGGGAGACGCTGGGCCAGGAGCCTCGACCCTTCCAGGGACGGGAGGAGAGGGGGCATCGCAGGGGCTGGGCAAGTAGACCCAGCCCAGACCCCGCGGCCGGGGAGGAGGCGTGGAGCTGGGCTCCGGAACCCGGATCCAGCATCCAAGTGACCTCGAGGCCGGGCCAGTCTCTGGAGGACACTCGGGACAGGGGGAGGGGCCGTGGGATGCTGGCCAGGGGCGGAAGTTCTGGCCGGCCCGCTGCCCACGCTCCTCCTCCGCGGGGACCCGGGCCCACAGCTTCTTTTCCCGCAGCGCGGGCTCTCGGTTCCCGGCCTCCTGGCATCTGGGTTCGCGCCTGCGCTTGGGGAGCGGCACCTGGGCGCACGTATCTGAACGAGGCGCCCTCGCAGCGGGCCAGGCCCGGCTAGTCCCGGGGGTCCGCGCTCCGCCGCCACTGCGGGGCGTGCGGGCGCCACGAAGCAGCCCAAAGGAAAACCCGCGAGGCGCGGGCCTGGGGCAGTAGGGGCAGGGACAGACAGGGGCAGCGAATCTGGGGCTTGGTAGGTCGGAAGCGGCTGGGGGAGCCTGCTCTCTGGGAGGCTTTTGGAAGGGAAGGTTCCCCGAATCCAGCGTCAATGGGGTGGGTGACGCTGATCGCCCCAACCTCAGGCTGCTCCGGGCCGGCGATTTGCGTCTGCCGGCTTCCCGGGGCTTAGAGCGGGCTTCTGAGAGCCTCCCCGAGAGCGCGGCTGCTCACTCTGTTCTCCTGCTCGAATAAAGAGCACAATTACCAGATTTCATTGAGTTCCGATAACTTTTCAATAACTTGTTAAAATCCTTGTCATGAAGAAACTACCGTAGCAAGTTTTTGTCATTTTAAAAGACTGGCAACTGAAGGTGGCTGCATGCTTTTGAACGGAATTTATGTGTATGTGTGCATGGATACATACTTGTGTGTATATGTATGTGTGCATATATGTATGTGTGATCGAGGCAAAAGTATAAATGCTAGTGGACTGTTCTCTGTCTCCAGACTTGTTGAATTAGCCTTCTTTGTTTTGAACACCTCTCTAGAGAAACTACCATAAAATCGCCAATTTCTGTTGCCTAGAACTTCTTGTTAAAAGTTCCTTTTCCCTCATCTCCCTCTCTCTCCCTCTCTCTCTCTCTCTCTCTCTCACACACACACACACACACACACACACACACACACACCTGCATGCACTCACTCCCCTCTAACAATAACTCTCTTCCTTTCACTTTAGCACCTACAGACTTGCCAGTTATCAGAAGTCATAGTTCACAGGAGTGCAAAATTATAACAATTTAAAATAATAACGTGGAAAATTCATCAAGATATTAGCTTTTTTTCAGTGCTGTGGAATAAAAAATTTCCGCAAATCTTGAACAGAGATGACCCTTTACATAAGATGATACTTTACACTGCTTAAGAAAATATGACTAATTGCTTTTCAAATCCAGTTCCTCTGTCAGCAGGGCCCCTCCGGGATGGTGTATCCTTGCCCTGTGTTCAGAAGGACCATTTTTTTTTCCACATGAAGTCTTACTGATACACAAGCTTCTCTTCAAACCAGTGTTATTCTCATTGCAAGGAAGTAGCAGAGTGTTTAAGGTAAGAAAGTTTCTGCTTTTATTGAAAATTTATATATGACTTCAATATTGTAATAAATAAACAGATAACCATTTTCACACAAAAAAATGACAATGCTATGCTAGAGAAGAAAATATTAATTGGGAGACTTACTCATAGTGGCAAGACAGACTTTTTATCAATACAGAATAAATATTAACAGCATTCTTGAGCCAATGTTGAGAGCTAACAAAATGTAGGAACCAAGCTAGATGTAATAAATAATTATCCAGAGAAAAAGATGGCGCATTCTCAGAAGATAAGAGCTCTTTGTAAACTGATGCATGTCAATTAGTCCTATCCTCAAAGCTCACCTTTAAATCACAGGACTTGTCTCAGGGCTATGTTAAAGGGCCATCCTCTGAGGAGAGGAGAGGAAAGGAACTCTATTATCCTTACAGTGAAATGCAAAACAACTGCAGAAAATCCCACTGGTAAATAGAACAGTTTAATAAGTAAATTGAATATGATCTAACTATAAAATTTAGGTAACAGAGTCAGGGTTACATATGGCAGGACTGGAAAAAAATAATTCATGACATTTTTCTTATTCCCCTCTGACCCCCCTCCCACCATCATTATGCTATTAACAAAAAATGTTTTAAAATTTCTCTCATCAAAAAATGAGGGGTGTTCTTTTCTTTCTTCTTTGAACAGTTCCTCGAACACTCCCAATACCAATCATTCTCAAGGTATCTGTGCAAATCTATTTCACATGATTTCAAGGAAATGATTAACTCACACAAAAATCCTTACACAAAGCTATGTTGGAGCTCTGTATATTTAATCTGGAAAGGAGGGAGGAAAAGGGGTGGTGGTGGTGGTAGCAAAGAAGTACAATCCAGCCAAATGAAATGTTAAGTTTTAAATCAACAACGAGTATGACTTTCTGGTCTGTGGACCCAAGACTAAAATTTTGGGATATAGTCTGGTCCAGTTGCTACTGAAGAACACATTTCTCTTCTTTCTTGGCCATCTTGCCTTTGTTTTGCTCCAGAGTTCGCTCCAAATGCTCATCTTCTTCTTCGGCCCTGGAAGTCAAACAGGAAACGAAATTATTTTTCTTCGTGGAGGGCAGAGCAGCACGACCCTCTTCCCAAGGCCCAGCGGGTGCAGATATCGCGGGGCCAGTGGGAGGCTGTCCGGCCCACCCGAGACCTCTGGACTGAAGTTTCAGAAAACTTCTCGGACCCTCAGCAGGCGCAGAGCCTCCACCCAATCCCACCGCACACTCACTGCTTTTCTTGTGCATCCAGGTCCCTGACGAGCGCGTCACGCTTGTTCACTAGGGCCACCAGCTCATCCAGCAGGAGTTGCTCGCGTCGCTTCTGGGCCTCAGTCTTCTGCCAGTCTGCGGACAAGGAGGCTCGTTATCCACCCGCAGGACCTCTGCACACTCTCCCTCCCCTTCCCGCCTTTTCCAGTTTCCTTGTATTTCTCCACAAACCATATTATAGAACGACTAGTTAGTGTTTTGTAGGGAGTTTGGCCATCGAGATAACGACTTCACCCCTAAAGCCCTGCTTTCTAAAATTTCCCGCAGATGAAGATGGCTATAGCCGGGCTGGAACCTGAAAAAGAGACCAGGTGTGAGCCGGTGGCCAGCCGGAGGTGCACACCCGATTTAGCCAAAGTGGGGGAGGGGGAGCTGGAGGCCCCGAAGAGGCCCGCGAGAGGCTAGGTGGTGGGGGATGTGGGTAAATGAGGGGGCGGGAAGCAGAGATGGGCGATAAAATCATTCTGAAAAGGCTAGAGAATCTGCCTGAGAACCTATCCTCCTCCCCCGCCCCCATCCTCACCCCATACAGCCTATTCTTCACTAATTTCCTCTTCGCTCTATTTTAGCAGTTGGATGTATTTCACACTGGGCGCCATATGCTTCACAATAACTTTAAAAGTAGTGAATCGGCTAATTAGCATTTTTCTTTGAAGTAAAAAATAAATTTGCTCTGCAATATTACACTGCAGCTCTCGATCGCATCACAGCCAGTTTTCTTTTGGAGACGTTGGCTGGGTGGTTTCGAATCAAAGCTCTTTGCAAAGGAAAAATTACATACTTCTTTTTGAAACCCCATGTTAAAGGTTGGAAAATCCGATGAGCAGTGTTCTTTACATGGGTAGGGGCAGTTTTTTGAAGGTTTTAAGTCCCAATAATATATTTCCAAATCTTTGCTGGTCTGATTATTTTCTTAAGATGAGCAGCAGTTTGGTTTGATAAAAACAGAACCTAATCGAACATTTAAAGCACTTTTGTAACCAAAGCCAACAGCTCTCTGGCCAGACTGTAAGGGCTTGTAGCTGTCAATCAATCCCCAGTCTACCCCGCCTCCCTCATTAGGAAGGTAAACAATGAAAAGAAGAAGTAGATGATGAGGCAGATAGCAGAACAAATGAGGACCTAGAGGGAAACAGGACACCAGCTTAAAAACAAAACAAAACAAAAAAAACAACCGTGGCCACTGACTCAAGCAGCCCCTCCCCCAGCAAATGCACTTTCCAAAAAACAGAGAGAAGTGCAATCCTTTTGGGTTTCTCTCTTCTCTCTCCATTGCCCTGGGCAATCATGTTAAAACTCACATGGCTGGTGCTTATTCAGATAAACCTAACAATGCACACCGCTGGTTACCATGTGAATCTTCACAAACCACACAAGAATGTGCTGGTTCAAATCCCCCCGACCCCCTCCAAAGCAAAATTTATTCAAGACAGCAAACTGCTCAGCAGCTTTATGAAAGCAAATGGTGCTAGAGGGAATTCTATCCTGTATTTACAAATTAAAAATTAGATACATCATCATGCAATAAAGGTTAGAATAGCAAGAAGCTAGAATGGTTTATTCAATTTTATCATTATTCCTTTCATTATAAGCTCAAATACATACATACAAATATATAAAACATACCATATACTAATAATCCACATCCGATACAAAACATCACACAAATAAATGGTCACAATGCATTCTCATTAAAAAAGAAATAAAATATTCTATAACATGAAGAGGAATAAATTATTACTATGAAAAGGTTCTTTTCTAAATGTAAGAATTTAAAAATAATGAAACAGCAAGACTGAAGAAAAGCCATATTTTATCATAATTTTATTCTTTGAATTAAAATGCTGAGTTTCAGGAATACTGGACAATTTTCTAATCTGGGTCTTGTTCTTAATCAGTCTCATTCTACATAGCAGATATTTTAATAGTGCTCTCCAGGGTGCAAGATCTTAAAGTTCATCTAATCTAATTTCAGGTAACTGTAGTTCTAGAAATATTAACTCAAGAGAAAAACCCAGTAAATTTGTAAAAGATTTGTAACTAAATTTTATAATTATTACGATTACTAGTTTTGATGAATATTAATTTTTCCATTCCAACCTGAAGAAATCATGTTGATTATAAGCTTTAATTTATAATCCTTACTTCCAAAACATTTTGATATAACTGGGAAATTTTCTCTGCCATACACTTAAAAAGTATAACTAAATTGAAACGTACATTTTTTAAAATAAATTTTTTTTTAAAAAAAACAGACATTGAATTATCCCTTCTCTGCATTTGACCGGTCACCTTTAAGGCTTTAATTAATAATTAGAAATATCAAGATTTCTTTAATTTTTAAAAAACAAGGCTTTAACAATATGCATGAGAGAAAACTTTTTAACACCTGATATATTGAAAATTTTTTAAAATCTTAACTTTTCCAAGCTGAATTTCCCGTAACTATAACAAAAACATTTTAAAATTATGAATATTTAGGTAATTTTCATCATTTCACAGTCAAATTTAACTGATATTAGAATTTAAATTGTAGAGCAAATAGCTATCTATGTATAGTGAGTACTTTTTACAGTAGCAAACTATTTTTACTTTGTACTTGCTTTTTTCATAGGAGTAAATTTATATACACACATATGTATTTGAATGCTAGCTTGGGAAATTAAGTAAACTATTTTTATGATTTAAAAAAATTAATACATTTAAAACTGATCAAAATTCACATCGGTACGTGCAAGCCTAAATTTAAAAAATTAAAAAAAAATCCTTTTAAAATGGCTTCACCCAGACATAATGTTGTGTTTTAAAAACCTGTATGTAAGTTTGTGTTACCTGTTATACATTTTAAGAAAGGATTATTCATCTATAGCTCCACTCACAGCTAGCTAGCTAGGTGACTTTGGCTTAGACAGACTACAATGTGGGTTCTGATTAATTTAAAGATTCCAGTGTACTTTTGCTACAAAAGCCATACTTTAGCAACAAAAGGATTAAGTTTTGATGCTGCATTTGAGCCAAATCGTTGAAATAAAGAGATTCTGTTTATGTTCATGTGCACTGAGCTGTTTTGTTAATTTGAAAAAAACCCTTTTTTATATATAGGGTCAATTATTTATTCTCTGATTCAGTTTATTTGCTGAAATTGATAATTACCTTGGAAAAAAGGCAAAAGAAATACCTATAAACACTTTAATAGAAAGGACCTACAGTTGCTGTAGTAAACCTTCCACCTTGCCACTATAAATAAGCCTGGCACTTTGATGAAAATTAACACTAGTTTTGTAAAGAGCACATTGGGGGATTGCAGTCAAGTCTTATCTTTAGTTCCAGTCAACTAGCAATCCTGAAAGAGTTTGCATCATCATCAGAGCAGGCCATTTGATAGGATTCTACCTCTGTACCTAATCAATCTATGGAAGACTGTGGCTGTGCTGTGCAACAAAGCTAAAATAGATTTACAAATGGGGTTTTAGGGGATAAGCTCCTCCACAGGATTACATATTGATTTTAAATATAAAAAGCTTATCATATAAACCATAACTACAAAAATAGTGAACCTATGCATAAATCCCTTTAGAAGAGCACCCACTTCAAACTCTAAGCCAAGAATAAATCAAGATGTACAAAATCCTAGAGAAGATCCATTCCTTGTGCAGAAAATGAACACACCACTTTCTAAAAGCCCACCCCAATGTGTGCAGAAATGAATTTACCTTTCCTGAGGGGGCATTAAGTAATCTGGAACAAAAAAAACTATAGGAAAAGTATCTGAATGATGTTTGCTAGCTTAGGGGATCCTATAACTTAGCTCAGTAGAGTGAAACTCCTGCTATGAAAAAAAACTTAAGGAAAAAAAAAGGTAAAACACAGATCAGAGTGATTATGGATTTTCAGAAGAATGGATATGTTGAATGTTGTTATTATTTTGTTCTCAAACCAAGCTGTTAATATTTTGTTCCATGTGCTGTGGCTATTAATATTCCGTGCTCTTCTGGTGAATGGTTTCAGCAGCAGATTTATTTGAAAATATTTTAGTCAATTTATTACAAAAACCATCATATGGCTACTAAGTAAATTTTTAAAAGAGATGGGCAAGAACAAAACAAAGCAAAACAAAACCAACTAATGCGGCCTGTTAGTGTGTGTTTCTGTGGTGTTTTAACACTCCAAAAGGCTACTGACCTAATCACATGTATGTCCATTCTAAGGGTTGGCTCAGAGGACACAGTCTCCACAGAACTGATTATCAGGACTGTCAGTACCTCTCCAGGACAGCTCAACCCTAGTCTGCCCAGGCTAGTGCAACAGGCCTCTCTAAGAAAGGGTCTCTATTTGTAATCAACAGGCTGCTTCTTTCTTCAAGCCTCTTTTTTCCCCTTAACCAGCAACAGAAACTTGTTGAGAGATTTGAGGCACAACCACATATGGGACAATTATGTTATTTTTAAAGAAATCAAAATCGTTTGGAAAAAAAATTACTTTTTCCCCCTCTTAAAAATATATGGCTTTCTACCGGTCTTCCATGTGTACAAGAGCAGGCAGAAAAAAAATGTAAGATTATTTAAGATTGTATGTCTCGTATGTAGGGACAGGACTGCTGATGAAATGGGATCTTTTATATGTGTCATGGCCCTCCTTTTAAGATGGTATATGGTAATAATACTGGTTTTGGGATAGAAGCAATATCTGCCTTAAAAGTCTACTGTATTGTATCAAGTTGTGTTTTAGGGATGATTTAATTATTATACATGAAAGAGTAGGCAAATTCTTAATACTCTGTATTGAGTGTAATGTATAATTAATCTATAAAGAATAAACTGAATAATGAGTTATATATTACATATACTACATATACATACATTTAAAATTGCACATATATATATACATACCATGTAAACATATCTGCAGTAACTACCTTTCACTAACTATTTAGCTTTCCAATTTCTTAAAAATTATACAATGTCTACAAAAATTATATCCAGAGGAAAAATATCATTTAATATACTTCTATTTTTTATTTCAATGATAAGTTTCAAAGAACTTCTTAAATATTTTGACAAATTTTATTCAGATAGATAATCATTATGCTTGCTATTAAACACACGATTTTCATTATCAGTGGTATAATTTGATACATTTGGATAGCCACTTGAAGGAAATTAGCTATCTGAAACCTTTTAAAATCAGTCTGATTTCTAATGAGGATGTATAAGTATTGTTAGTCATATTTATCAAATGAGATAATGTACATAAAAGTAAAAATAAAACTTCTATAATTTTAAAATATGCTATTTAGATAAATAGCATGTATTTTATCCAATAACAGTGTTAATTAAAATATTTTAAAAATGTTTTCACTTGCCTTCCCCCTTACAACCTTAAACTTCTAGTTTTTAAACTAATTAGAATTGACTTATTATGGATCAGGTACCTTATCAGGTAAAGAAGGAAATTACCATGGACAGTCAATGGGTTAAGAGGTCAATATAGAATAGGAAAATCAATTTGCATTGATTAGACAAAAGGTCCATTTTACAGAGCCCAAAGGATTAGCTTTTAAGCAGACAGACATCTTTAACTTTGAGACATTTTCAAATAATAAGGATAAAGAGAACAGCATTCTAAAACACCTAATTATTTTTAAAAAATCATATATAGTAAATGCCATAGTTAAGATAGCCAATGTTTACTGATATTATGAACTATGCTTAGGATTACTACATAATTCATTTAAAAGCTTTATGAAAAGTATGAAAGTGTTTCATTTATCTCTTATGCCAATCTTTGTCTGAATAATCGCTTAATAGGAGCTACAGTAGACTGACAGTGACATATTTCAGTGTTGACATCAATTAAATATTAAGGTAAAATTTAGATTTGAAATGTGAAAAATCAAAATGGTAAATCTTACCCAAACCTCTCCAGTGTAAACAACTTTAAATTGCACATAAAATGTAATTAAATCATTTAACTCCTTATATTTTCCATTTTATTGACATTTAAGCTTACTGACAAAATTTAAGAAAATCGTGTGTTTAATAGCTAGCATAACAACTATGTGAATTACTAGTAAGGTCCTTAGGTTTTATATGACTAATGCTTTTTGATGCTAAGGTATTTATTTGCAAATTCTGTAGGTCCCTAGTCAGATCACTCCTAGGGAGACAAGAAGTGTATTATACTCTTTAAATCTCTCTTGACAATTGACACCTCACATACCTCCACTCCACCATAGCATTTCTTACCTTCAATGGCTAGCATTGCCCGCAATTCCCGATTCAGCAGCTCATACCTTCGTTCTAAGTCATGTTCTTTTTCCCTAGGCAAGTTGCAAAAGTTCATCAATATGCTAATTACTAAATCATTAAACACTTAAAAGAACCTTTAGGTTACATTGATTTTAGGACTCATAACTGACTTTTCTCTTTAACTTTAAGCTACTCCAAACAAATGATACACAAACCTAAAACCTTCCTCAGGTTGAATATTTACTAATGCTGTTATTTTTCTTCCTCAATTTTGAATTGCACAGAGGTATATTTTAATCTGAAAATAAATAGTCTCATCCTTCAATGCTTCTTGTACTAAGTGCCAGATATAAGGCTATTTTGTCTATTTTGTCAAAGAGTTTTCATAGTTCACAACAAACATGTTTTTGTCTAGAACTCCGTATGAAAAGAACACAGAAACATGGCAGCACTACAAGTGCAAATTTAATATGGACACGGTTATAAATCTAGGACTGGTTAATTTTTGTGCTCCTTTATAATTCTTTTATCAAGTTCGGGCATAACAGAAATGACAGAAATAGCTGTTTCCACTAAAATAAAACATGTAAGCCTGTTTCTTCCCACATTAGGTGGCATAATATAAGAACACTGCTAGTTAGCAAAAAGGAACAAACATTAGGTCCTATAGTAAATTAAATGCTAAAGACTAAGAATGCTTACATTGGTTTAGTCTATATTTTACTGTAATTCTTGTAATTATAAAAAGGTCACTTCTCTGTAACTCATTAATCTTTTATCCCAAAATTTAGGGTAACATCATTTGTAGAAGACAAAGGTACTTTTGTCCTTATTAAGAGTTAGTTTAATTTTTAACTTAGAATCTGATGTTAAATACATTTCAATTTATTTATAGGTACACCAAGTCTTTTTATACACAATGCTTTATTTCTTAAACACAAATATTGTTTATATTCACTGGCTTTCTGTATAGCAAACATATTTTCAGTATCTAGCACTCTATTTTTTAAATTCTTACTGTTCAGATAAAAACTGGTTATACACTATTTTTTATTTTTATATAAAATAGACTTTAACCTCTAAGGAAAGAAAAAGTTAAGTCTAATAAATATGAAACCCTAAGAAACCAGTAACCAAAAGCCTAAGATCCACTGATGTTGCAGGAAAAACAAGCAGTTATGAGTACTTACAGGAGAGAGAGCTGGTTCATTCTCCTTATTAAGGCATTTTTCTTATTAACTAACATAAACCATTCCTGCATCATAGCTTCTTCTTCTTCGGTGTTTCTTCCTATAATTCAGGAAGAGTTATTTCTTGTTATATGACATTTGCAGGCTGATAACTGTTTAGCACAAGTGTTGTTTTTTCCTAACATAAAAACATTTTAGTTACCCCGATAGTTCAAATTAAACAGTTTATAACAACATAAGATTAAAGTCCAAGGCCTGAAAAAAGAAATTGATATTTAAAATTTCATAATCTTCTAAAATTCAATCTTCTAAAGCTGTTATTATTCAGCATGTCAAAATATACAGCCCTCCTGAACATATCTACAGATCATACTAACACTAACACAGTGTTAGTGTTAAAAGAAAAGTGTTCCAACTTTTAAATCCTCCCCAGAGGCTGATTTGTTATTATAGTTCAATGAGGAACTCATGGTGCTGACAGACATATGGTCATGATAAAGAAAAAATATTAAAAAATCATTATGAGAATTACAAGACTAGCAGGAAGATCAGAGAAGTCCAGAGATTTTGTGAAAGCTTCCACTTGTAACAACTTGTTTTTTTTCTTCTTTTTCTCCCCCAAAGTAAACTAAGACATACATGCATATACCATTCTGGAAGTTATCATCCCTAATAGGGTAAACACTTGCAAATTATTTTAAATGACCAAGTTACAAAAAATGCCTATAGCTGTCTGTGAAAAAACACATTATAATGAACATAATAATGTCAGTAAATCAGAAAACATTTGAATGGAGAGTGGTCTAACATTTTAGATTATAAACTTACTAATTGCACATTTCAAATTCACTTTTCCTAATATACATTCCATCATCTACACTACTGCCCCCCAAAGGCCACTGTATCAAGGATTATAAAATACAGTACGTATTTGATATTATTCATGTAGAAGTAGTCCACAATCATACTTAAAAATTTGCCCTAGCTGGTTTGGCTAAGTGGACAGAGGATTGGTCTGCAGACTGAAGGGTCCCAGGTTTGATTCCGGTCTGTGGGCTCGATCCCCAGTAGGGGCGTGCAGGAGGCAGTCGATCAATGATTCTCTCATCACTGATGTTTCTATCTCTCTCCCCCACTCCCTTCCTCTCTGAAATCAATAAACATATATTTTAAAAAGTTAAATATCCCAGCTAAGATTCAATATTCCAGTTAGTTCCCTAAATTTTATTTTCTTTGTGAGCAGGATATTTTCTTTTAACTTTCAAATACATTTAAAACATTTAAACAGTACAGAGGTATAACTGAGTAAAAAGTCAAGTCCTCTTTCACCAATCCCACCCCAACTCCCTTCCCCAGAAGTAAGTACTATTAAGGTTTAGCATGTCTCCTTCCAGATCACAGAGATAGCTGTCTATCACACACGTATATACCTCATCTATAGATTCATACAGGTTTTTCTTTAATATAAGTGAGATCATATCACACCGGGGTGGGCAAAAGTAGGCTTACAGTTATGAGTAATGAAACAGGTTTATTCTTGTATTGTTATTATTGTAGTAATTATTATTATTAACCTACTTGTGCCCACCCCTGTATATTACCCAGTGATGTACTGTTGTCATATTGCTTGAAGATCTACCTCATTCTTTTAAATACTTAAATAAATTATGAATGTACCATTTAATTAACTATTTCTACATTGATATAAATTTGAAGAAGAATTTAGAATGAAAATAGAGTATAAAGAACTGTTCTGTGTGCAAAAGATTATACTTCAGAGCATCCCTGTGAAATAGGTATCTGTTGTTCATCATTAGGGAGAACAGTGAGGATATATGTCTTCATTAAATGCTGTTAAAACTTTATGGTAGGGAGCAGACAGGATAGATTCTTTTAGAGTATGAACAAAAGTCTTTATTGTTTTACAGTATTTTTAATCTCTCCTTTAGGGTAGCTGGTTTTGTATTCACTTTAGACCATGTGATGTCTTGACACTAGTCATGTGATATAGGCTGCGATAGGAACAAATCCCTGGGTAGCAACAAAAGAAGAAAGAGTAAAAAGAAAAAGCTGGGGAAAAGCTTGCAATTTGGAAAAAGGCCAATTGTACCCTAGTGAAGGCCTTTTTGATCATTGAAATCACACGTGTGCAATATTAATAGGTGCAGTTACTATGATATTTTATTTTCTGATGAAAGACTTAATTCTTGTGTTTATAACTTAAGTAGCTTCTAAAAATACAGACATTAAAAGTTTGTTTTGAGTTTAACAACTTATAATTGAGGCTTTCAGGGAATACTAGAAGCAACTAGCCTACTTTTAAATTAGCATCATTTTCTTCAATGGAAGACTGCTTCCTTGACAGTAACAATATTGATGTGGTCCTATGTTATTTTCAGTTTAACTCATGCCTGGGTAAGGATAAAATCCCTCTCCCCTAATTGTTAGGAAATAACTAATAATACAGAGTTTTATGTTTCAAAAGTAAATAAGCCTAACAATAATATGTAAAGACACATTTCACATTGTGACATAGGTTATATGAATTAACTGAAAAAACATATTTAAGGTTAAATCAATTATGTACCCCGAATTCCTTATCTGAGATTGTACACAACGATGGAAATCTATACTTAGCATGGCAATAAAAAAATTAAATTTTCTTCTAACACATCATTACACTATTGTTTTCAGGGATTTAAAAATTTTTAAATTCAAAAAGCTTTTAAAAGCCAGTAAGTTGAACCATTACAAATTAATCCTGACTTTAATAACTGGTTAAAGACCCCTTTAGCTTTATAAGTAACAAAAAATATTAAAGCCTGTGATCACAGTGAGCTTTTCTCATTTCTCCTCTAACCATTTGTTATTTAATCCAATACTAGTAATCCAATTTGTCCATCAGACTTTTAAAGGGCAGAATGCAACTTCCTCAGCTTAGACACTTTTCAAAGTACAATATATTTTTCAAATGAATGCTGGATGTTTCATTTTTCCCAACTGTTCCTAGCTCTAATGCATGAGGAAAAAAAAGAACAAGATGAACATTGTTCATACTGATTAAGTAAGAGCTCATTAAAGTGCTGTCAGTGCGGTGCTTTGAATATGCATGAAGCATATAATCAGATCTAGTACCGTCACTAGAGGAGAATACGGTAAGTACAAAGGATTGATTTAATTACTTAGAGTGGGCTGTGGTGGTAAAGCAGTCTTGTTAGTGCAAAAAAGAAAAAGAGGCTGTATTCTGGCACTGTTAGAAAAAAAGGCAGTTTTAGCTTCTGCCACAATACATAATCTCAGAATAAAGCACTTTACATTGTAGCTTAGAATGAAGAATGTCATTATTTTATAAAATGGCCATAAATAATTTTTTCTTGTTTAACCTTACCTGGTTAACTACTATTTAGAAATTATTTTTGATTTGTACTTACCAGCTACATTTTTGTCATGTTAAGAGTCAGACACTGATACTTTTTTAAATTTAAATTTTTTAAATTTCAGGAACTGAAAGATTTAATATGTATTAAACTGAAAAATTTAATACATACTATTAAGGACCATTTTGAAATTTAAAAAAAATCAAAATACTACAGTTCAGTATACAGTTACTAAAATGTGAAACCATGGCTGAATTGTTATACTTATTTTAAAACATAGCCTCATGTTTATTATACAAGCAATAAAACCATCCCCATAACATTTAAAAGTATAGACTAGCCCTAGCTGGTTTGGCTGATAGTGTCGGCCTGCAGACTGAAGGGTCCCAGGTTCGATTCTGGTCAAGGGCTCATGCCTGGGTTGTGGGCTCAATCCCCAATAGGGGGTGTGCAGGAGGCAGCTGATCAATGATTCTCTCTCATCACTCTCTCTCTCTCCCTCTCCCTTCCTCTCTGTAATCAATAAAATATATATATTTTTAAAAGTACAGACTAATACAAACTCTGGTAATACTTTTTTCTACTTCGTTTTCTTAAAGACTTCCGTTTTTTATTTTGCCTCCAGAAATGCAACGTCTTTTCTGACATCACAATGTCTTAAATTAATATCAGTTTTTTCTCTGAATCAATTATTGTAGCTGGAGTATAATTTGTATAAATTTATAAACAATAAAGAATAATGATAATGGCAGAAAAAGTAACTATGTAAATATGACTTCAAATCATTCTTCCTATAACATAAACAAAAACCATTTAATAGAAAACAGCATAAAACAGAACACTACACATTTAATACATGTTAGTTGACTATAGTAACCACTTTTATATTCAATACCTAAAAAAAAGTACTTAAAGTCAAGATTTAATTTCATTGAAGAATTTATCAATGAATCTGTATGTAGTTTCATTTATTTTTTCAGAAGCAGTGTTTCAATGTAAATTTTTAAATGAATAAAAGTGATGTAAAAAACCTAAAATTTTGAAACATTGTTTAAAAGACTGTCTACTAATTAACTTTCCTAATTAATCTTTCATCATAAAGTTATCTATTTAGAAAGATATATTTTTCAACAGTGAATTCTTACATAAGTGCAAAATAAGGAACGATACAATTTTAGCTGAAAAGAAGATGAATCCAATGGAAAAAAATGAAAACACAAAGATGTAGACTTGTATATATAAACAAATTCAAAAATTTCCATCATGAAAACATTAAAAAATGCTGAAATCTTGCCATAGAACCATAGTGGATGGAGATGGCTGACTAGTGATCAGATCCATGGCCCTTAAAAGACAGAACACAGCAAACACAGCAAAGCCAAACCACACACAAAAACAAAAGAGTTGCCATTACAAATTGTCCTGTGCTATGATTACATGAATAAGATGACCTTTGGAAGACATTATATATTACAATAGAGAGACACATGAAGGTGTCAACTAAGCGGTACTGGAAAAACATACTTTAATAACAAAGGGAGTGAAATTTGGCAGTTTAAAAAATATATATATGTTTTTATTGGTTTTGGAGAGAGAGGAAGGGAGAGGGATAGAGAAATAGCAAGTGATAAGAGAGAAACATCAAATGATCAGCTGTTTCCTGCACACCCCCTACTGGGGATCGAGCCTGCAACCCGGGCATGTGCCCTGAATGGGAATCAAA